CGGCACACAGGTTCCGTCCATACCAGCAGCGGAGCCCCGGGGCCACTTCCACAGCGCTCTCAGCCTGCGCAGCGGGCTCTCTGGAGGCTGCATGAAGCTGAGGCTGCGGGCAGCCAGTGCCCAGATGATGTGGCCAGCTTCGAACCAGAGCCACAGAGGGGAGACGGCCAGGCAGATGGAGTGGTGGGGAGCAGGGCGCTGTTGGCTCAACGGTTGTCTTGTCACTGCCCCCCTGCCGTCATTCATCAAACATTCTCCTGAGCCCGATATCCGTTGGGTGGTTTCGGGCTTTCTGCTTATCTCCAGGGTTCAGAGATGAAAAAGACCACGACACGTCTTGCTTTCCAAAATCTCACCCAGTGGAATAGGTCATAAGTCTTGTGCACTGACAAGACTGAGTTTTGTCGATGAACGGGGCTTCATTCTAAAGGCTTTTCTCAGTTCTCACAACAACATTCGGAGTAGGTATGATACTATGTCCGTTTACAGACAGCAAAACTGTGGCGTGGCATGAATGCAAGCGTGATGAAATCATTTCAGACTGGTGGTGGTGGGGAGACTGGGGAAGGCATCAAGGAGAGTGGGATTGGGGTTGGGTCTTGTGTGACTGGCAGGCAGAACACATAAGAGAGAGGCAGGGCCAGGACTTGAAGGCTGTGTGAAAGGTCCTTGGAACATTCAGAAGCCTGAGCTTGCTGGGGTCCTCTTCCTTTTGTGCCGAATCATTTATCTGGGGTCCCTACTGTTGCCTGGGGAACAGCAAGGGCTCCCGGTTGACCAAGTGTGCTGGGGAGATTTGGGGAGTCTCTAGCAGAGGCCTGCTCCTGCCTGTACCTGGAGATAGAGGCCTGGGCCCAGGGATAGCTATGCTTTAGCAGCAGCGGAGGGTTCTGGCCTTGCTCTGCGTTAGTCCCAGTGTGAACACATACAGGCAGATCACCTGTTCTGCATGCTCTTGGTTTTTATCTCAGGCCTCAGTGATGCCTCTCATTCCTCTGCCTCTAATCTCCATTTGGCATTGTCTTAGGGATTGCCCTATCAGTTTATTAGTTTAAAACAACTGCTGGAAAGGATCCTCTTTCAGAGAATGTTCCCTCCTTCACCTTGCTCAGAGTCCGTCTTTCCAAGAGGGTGGTCAGTGAAGATGGGCATCCATGGAGAGAGGAGTCGGGGGGAGACCTGCAGAGAGCCTCTTGTAGTCCCCTGCCATGGGTGGCCAGGGTCTGACAAGCTATAGAATTTGCGTGGGCCCACACTGGATCTTTTTGGCTGTCATGTCCTCAGAGCCAAGAGAAAGTGCTGAGCTGCTGGGTATGACCTGAACTCTGGGAGTTTGCCAGGTGAGAATTAGCTGAGTGTTTTCTGGAGACCAGATGTCTGCCACTTGTGAGTGACAGGCTATGTGGGATTGTTTTAGGTCCTGCCCAAGAGGGCCAACAGGAGGGACTGTGGGAGCACAGGGTGGGGAGAGGGAATTAACTCCTGCATGCTGTGCTTATACTGACCTGGCCTCATGGAAGCGCAGGTGCCCCTCTGCTCTGAGCTCTTCACTCTCTTGGAAGTCTCCAGAAATGCACAGTGCTTGCAAAAAGCAGCAATTTCAAGGAACTAACCGGCCCTGACATAAGCTGAGAGAGGAGGAGAGCCTGGGCAAGGATGGTTGCCTCTTCTTTCAGGGACCCCTGAGGAATCTTCTATTCAAGATGTCTTCACCTCTGTGGGGTCCTGAAATAACCACAGGGTCCAAGGCTCCAGAGTCAAGCTCATTGCCCTCTAACGTTTTTTGTGCTTCTTCCTGCTCGGAGAGCTCAGATTCTCTGCTCAGGCTTAATTTCAAAATCTTCGCGTCCCATTCCTTCAAATAATACTTCCCAGGGCTCACGGGTGGCTTTTAGGTTATTCAATGATTAACAGGTCTCAAAGGAGTTGGGAAATCCTCTATTCCAGGACACTAATTCACAGCTTGAGAAAATCCATATGCAGGATACTATCTTTCACTTGGTAGTGATGAGAAGAATTTCTTGATTCAGACTGCCGGAACTGCTAGACTAAATGATTTCTCCTTGGAGTTTATTAAGAGGAAAGTCACTTTGGCCTAAGGTGTAAAAGGTGATTCCAGAAATACACCTCCCCAGACAGATCCTATGGTGAGGGTGATAGTTGTTGCAGGAACAATATGGCTTCTGATTGCTTCAAGCCTACCTGCATGCACATCTTTGGGAAGTTCTTCATCATACTACTGTGGATTTGGCTATATGTTTTGGCCACAGTAATGGTTAATCTTGACTGTCAACTTGATTAGCCAGAGAGATGCCTAGGAAATTAGTAAAGTACACTTCTGGTTGTATCTGGGTGGGTTGTGGGGGCATTGCACTGGGGACTAAATCTTAGCTCTGACCCTCTTCCTCTTGGGTTCTTCCCCTTATCTGCTTCTCAGATACCATGAAACAAGCACCTTTCCTCTGCCATGCCCTTCTACCATGCTGTTCTTGCCTTGGAACCTGCCAGCCATGGACTGAATCCTCTGTCCATGATCCAAAGTAAACCTCTCCTCCCTTATGTTGTGGGTGTCAGGTATTTTGTCCCAGCAACAGAAAGCAACAAATGCAGCCATTGTGATGTAAGCAGAAACTTGGAATGTGCTTGTATAGTGGAGTAATTTTTTTTCTTTCAATCCCGTGGCTGCTACCATGTTATCAACCCTGTGCTGGCCTGCTGGATGATGAGTCACTTGTAGCCCTGTTGCTCTCATGACCCCAACCCCAGCAAACTATCTCCAGAAGCAGAGCAAAGCAGCTGACTGCAGAAATATGAATGAACCCATTAAAGACCACCAAAACTACCCCACTGAATCCAGACCAAATTGGCAACTCTCAGAGTCATTAGCTAAATGAGGGGTTGTTGTTTTAAGCCACTACAATTTGGTGTGGTTGGTTATGCAGATCTTCTCTCAATAAAACTGCATGGACCGTTTCTCTAACCAACCTGTCAGTTTAGAACAGTCTTAGAACTGAGCACTGGGTACAGTGTTTAAACTACCAAGAGGAAGACATCTGTCATTCAGTGAACTTCACGAGCACAGAGATATACCTGAGCATTCTGAGGTCCTAAGATCTTGCTAAAGGTCACAGAAACTAGGATTTAAGTCTAACTGACAGTCCTGCCTTCAAAATGAAGCTCTGATCTTTTAATGGAAGCCCATGAAGCCTATTTTTCAGTGCCTTTTTAGGGTCTGTCTCTACATTGAGCTCCTTTCTTAGGAAGCCTGCTTCGTCATCAGCTCATGAGAGTCAGAGCCACCATGATGAGGATGTCTGAGAGAGAAGGGAACCGTGTCAAAGCCTGCACTAATAATTATAAACACTAACACTGACCTCTAACTATCGCCCACCATGTGCTAGATATTCTTCTAGCCCTTGACATGAGTTACCTGATTGAACCCCCACCACAATTAGCTGTAGATGTGATTCCTAGCTCCAGCTGGCAAATATTTAACTAACATGGCTGAGTTGGTGGAGGCCAAAGATTTGAACTGAGGTTAAGTGGTGTTCTCCACTGTGCTGAGCTGCCTCTTGATAGGGCCCAGGGGTTAGGAGATTTCCTAAGCGGGGCTTCCTAATACCAAGTACCCTGAAAACTTGTAAGAGTATTTGCAAATACCAGGGCCAATGCTTTCTGCTCTGTGCCTGGGTTATTGAGGACAGCAGAAGATTTGCTGCTTCTCTCTGCTCATTATTTTAAAAATAGTCTCTGTATCTTCTGTGGACTACTTCCCAGAGGCTGGAAGAGAGAACAAAATGGTCAGTCCTGGGTCCTAAAACATATAAGTACATCTCAAGTATACCTTTGTGGTAATCAATATCTGAGGTCATCTGGCAAAGCTATATTTCATGTGTTCCCTTTTAGTAACCTGAGCTGTCAGTGTGATTATTCCCATTTTACAGAACCAATTCATAAAAAGTAAACTCCAATTGATGGTAGTCTCGGTAAACCATATTTTACTGTAATTGGATACTTTTCGAGGTCTGCCAAATAGTTTGCTTCTTTTAGCTCTGTAGACATTTTTCCTCAAATTTTGTTTGCTTCATTCATTGCTTAGCAAACTCTTTCTACAAAGATAAAATTATATTAAGCAAGAGCTCCAGGGATTCCCAAATTGTTTTATTGACAGAAATTCTGTTATAAGGAGTAAGAGACTGCAGGTCTCATTCCCAATGTATGGGATCTTGGAAAGCAAACAGGTGAAATCTCCCAGACACAGGGTCTGAACTTCAGTGGGGTGAATCAGCCCTCCACGATCTGTGATTTACTGGGTGAATTCTCTAGCCCAACCCACACAGTGTCTTCATTTTCTTGTTGCCCTTCAAGTGCTGTTGGTTTTGTTCAGATGTTTTTAATGAGTTTGTCTTGCAGCAGCCAGGGAATGGCTAACAAGTCTTCTGGGCCCTTAAAAACCCATTAGAATGTTATTTCTTACAAAGTGAAAAACTAACCTCATGCCAGATGCAAATAGGGCTCAAGCCATCAGAAATAAAGTTTGATTCTGAAGGAAAATTCCACTGAGACATGAAAGTTCTTCAGCTTCGGAAAGTAGTCTTTGATGTAGAGTCTGACTCGGCAATCTAATATGATTATTAGGAGTATGAGTGTTGCAGAAGTTGGATAGAGTTCAAATCCACTCTCTGCTACATATTAGCTCCACGCTGTAAGGAAAGTTGCTTGACTGCTCCATGTTTCAGTTACCTCACCTGAACACACGCACACACACACACACACACACACACACACACACGGAATAAAAATAAAACTTGTCTCATAGAATTATTGGAGGGCTAAATAAATTGTAGGTGAAATACAATTATGTCCAGGTGCAATAATAACAAAAAAGTAAGGTAAATTGGTCAGGCTTATTTCGCTCACATTTATTTATTTCTTTTTTTTGTTTTTGTTTTTTAGACTGGGGATTGAACTCAGGTCGTTGCCGTTGCACTTACCAGGCAGGCCGCAGAACCACTGAGTCAAATCCCCAGCCCTTGCTCACATTTAAAAGAAACCTAAAAATTGGAATCCAGCATTGGTAAGTCACTTCACAGTTGTTAGGAATCCAAGACTTCCTCTGACTTTCTGCTGGGCCGTCTTTAGAAGTTGTTCCTCTTCTCAAATTCACCTGGTGAACCTCGTGGTTGACAACTGCTGTCAGTAGCAACTCTCGGTTCATATTCTAGATCAGCAGCGGAACGAAAGGTGAGAGACACAGGACATACAATATCGCCCCTCAAGGGAATCAGTTTCTCTTCAGGAGATTTCCCAGTAGCCCTAACAAATAATTTGTTAGACCACTTGAGCTTCCTTAGCTGCAAAGGATCGATAGTTGGATACATTGCTACCAAATAAAAATGTGGGTTTTGTTAGTAAAAAGGGAGAGCACAGAATTGAATAGTTAACTAGCAGTCTGTGCTGGAACATTTAAAGTACTTAAAATGTTGCCTGTTACATACTTAGCTGTAAATTTGGTGCCTAAAATAGGAGGCAGCCTTTGAAGTTCAAGGGATTTAAATTAAATCCTACCTCTATCCCTCACTGAGAATGACATTTTGAGAAATTTATTGAATTTAACTATGAGCCTCAGCATTCTTGGTTGTCAAATGCAATTACAACAGAATATTGACCTTTTGGGATTTCTAGAAGAGAGTGAGAAGAAGTCTGCAAAAGCCCCGGCACATAGTAGGTGTTCAGTAAATGTAGATTTTCCTCTTTCTAGCCCCCCCCATAAGATGGAGCTCTTCAATGGAAAACAAGGGTCAGAAAAATAACCACCACCTTGCCTAGGGAAGTGGGCAGCAACCACTTCTAGTATAAAGCCACACTTTGCCTCCAGGTTGCCTACTCTCTGCCCACAAAGTGCTAAAGTGAGTGAAGCCAACCCTGTAATCAAACAATACCAGATACTTTAATTATAGTTTTTTGCCATGATCTGAATCACTGTTTTCATGTGCATCGCTGTGAATTAATTTCGTAACAGTGGTGTTAATTCCTTGATGCATAAAGAAGCATTTTTAGCTGCAGAGGTGTTCCACAGAGAAGGGAATGGAGTTCATATTTAATTAGCTCCTACTCTCTTCCACGCACTGTGCTGAGTGCTTTGTAAACCTCTTCTCAGTTTTACCTCTCACAATAACTCTGCTTGGTAGCTGTTACCATTCTGTTTTGTGAGGACACAGACAGTCAGTAACATTTTCAGCAGCACAGTTTGCACAAATCCCCAAAACTGAGATTTTAACCCATGTTTGTTTGATTCCAAGGCTCCTGCTGAAACCACTGTGTCCTGCTACCTCACTGCTTTCTCGAACATTGAACCAGCCTGTCTCAGAGGAGGTGGTAGAAGAGAGAAGACCGAACTGTAAGTTGGCTCGTATCTGCAGTGTCCAGGTTCTGGCTCTGGGACATCTGAGGTCTCATTGTCCCCTAAGGTCTTATTTAGTTGTGAGGGTTCAGCCACTGATCTGAGATCTCCTTTGTCATTCCAAGTCAAGCGAGGAGTGAAAATACATATCCTCATTTCTCTATGTCCAGAAACCACTTTACCTATCAGCCAAACCCGACTTTAGCAATCAAAGGGACAAATAAGATGGTGTACCTATCTTCGTGAAGTTAAAATGCACCAGGGAAGAAGAGTAGTGGATTTGGATATACAGATACTCCGTGCCTTACAATGGGCTGATGCCTCGATAAGGCCCTGGTAAATTGAGAATACCATAAGTTGAAAATGCATCCGATACATCCAGCCCACCAAACAGTATAGCCTTCTATCACGGACGAGGAGAGTGTCAGTTATTTATCTTTCTGACCAAGAGTCTGACCAGGAGCTGTGACTTGCTGCCACCGCCCAGTATCAGGTGACAGTATCAGTCAGCATATTTCTATCATAGGAAAAGATCAAAATTCAGCATTTGAAGTACAGTTTCTACTGAATGCATCTCACTTTTGAATTCATATCATTTGTCTTTTAGACACAATCAAGGTAAAGTCAAGTCGAAGACTCATGTCAAACCATGGTAAATCAGGGACTATCAGATAATATGAATAAACATCAGTGCTCGGAGGTACTTTCTAAACATTGGATCTAACCAAAACCACTATCATGGAGAATAGAAATCTTCTCATCACTGGGGAAGGCCCTGTCCATATGGCTGGATCACCATGTGATAATAATGGTATAGTTACAGTATTGAACAGTTGGGCAAAAATGTCTCTAAGACCAAATGCACATCTAATTTATGGACGTTTGAAAAGAATTCAAAGGTACAGAGACAGCCAAATTGTGAGTATCCATCCTCATATCTCCTCCTCCATGTCCAATCTTAAGTGTAGAGATTTTCCTCCCAACTCCCTGTCCAAGACACACACACACACACACACACACACACACACATACATATAC